TGAAAGTTTGACATTCCTTACATTTTGTAATTTTTGCAGGGAAAATCCGTTTTCCTTATTACCAAGAAATGTATTATGATTTCATATGGACAAACTATCCAACATTTGTTATGTTATTTTAAGACTGTAATCAGCATTATATTTACAATTGCTATTTACGTTCATATAAGTATTACCCGCAACCATAAAGCTAACATGACTCCAATCAGGCAGAGACAGACATATTGTATTATATGTCTTTGAATTAAGTAATGAAAGGAATATATTTTTAAATCACCTCAATAGAAATCATTTTAAAAATGAAGTCTACATTAAATGCACTGCGCACCTTTGTCTTTTTCAATCGACAATCGTTTTCCTTTTTAAAGTAGACTATGCATATAATCATGTTGTAACTGGCACTGTTTTTACCTATGGGTATTAGTCGCAATCGATTATCAAATTTTGCAAGAAATTGCACAAACAAAACTTGACAGAAAAATAATAAACTGACACATTTGACAACAAAACAAATTTGTAATTAAATTATTGCAATGAGGTGTAAAACAAAAGATAAACATTCAGAAATATTAGACTTCTTTAAATCATACCGAGTAAATATGATTTTCGGTTGGCAAAAGGAAAACCCGATTTCAAAGGATTATTCAAAATACGCATTCTGAATAAAAGGGCTTGAAAACTCACATTATTGTATTAAAGCATTTGACATTGTTTTGTTATTTCATTTCTGCTAGTCTGAGAATTGTCCTAAAATAAGCCCATGAATGATTCAAGATGCAAGATGCAAGATGCAATATCAATTCCAATTGACGTCAAAAGTGATAGAATCAAACGTCCAATCCAAACCGTTACTCCGTTTGTCATAATTGTTTTTCTTTCAATGTAAGAAGTTAAATCAGGCAATTTCTTTGAAATGTTTCATATTTTGATATCCCTGGCCCTTTTAACGCTTACTCTACGGTGTGGGTTTACAGGCCGTATGTTAATCTTTATTTTTTTCATACTTTTCGCTTCAGTCTTTTGATGGAAAGTTGTCTCATTGAATTGGCAAACATACAACATCTCCTTATTTTTGATATCATTCATAGTGTCAAGCAGGTGCACGTAATCCAGTGGTCGTTGTTGTCTTTCGTTTTTTTAACAAATTTTATTGATTTCAATTAGATCATTAGTTGATCATTAGTCTGGGAGAACAGGGTTTATTTATTAGTCAAAATTTGACTTTGAAGTAGATTTCAGTTATCTTTTGGGACGATTTTTTGTGTATTTATAATTCTTAGTACTAACCTGACGAGTCCAACTGATAATTACAGTGTGTTCTTATGTTGATTTGTTACACTAAGTTGGGGGTTGAGTGCTCACAGAATACTTAACCCCAACATGTTCTTTGTGTGCCTGTACCAAACTACTAGCCGTAATCCAGTGGTTATCGTTGGTTGCTGTCTGCCATATAATTGTTTAATCGTTTTTGCGAACTGCTGTATGAATCAGGCAGTTGTTTTTCTTTTTTTAATTTAATCACATTTTGTCATTCCTGGGCCTTTTTATGGCTTTTATTGGTTTATTGTTAATCTATGTAAATACATTATTCTGAGATCGAGTCAGCTTGTCCCTCAATCTGATTAAAATACAGATCATATGTCCACGCTTCGTTTTTTTGGAAAGGGTCTTCACTTCAATACTCTCCAAAAATTTCAATTCGATTGTAACCAAATAAGGATCAATTATATAGAGGAAATTTTATACTGGTATACCATTCCTGCTTTGTTGGCCTTTTAGTTTTAGAAAAGAATATGAAAATGTTATTGTTCACAGGATTTCAAAGGAAACAATGTTCGCCCTATCCCGCCATGTTTTCCACCCGGTCAACATCAAATGAGGATCTTTTGAAAATGACTTCAAATCAATCAACCTTCTAACTTCACCAAACATTCTGACTGGTAGTTTCTTAGCAGAAAACATTGTTGGTAATTGACCAACTAGGATCAAAGTTTCTATTCGGCGTGTTTTTTCATGTTATTCATCAGATCGGAACACAATGATGAAATTATACAAAGGACATTCCATATGATTTTCTTGCCAAGTTTCAAATTGGCCTGGTGATTTCAGAGGTGATGATGCGACTTCTTCTTGTCTAACGACGAACGGAAAGAAGACGGATGCAAACTAATGACCTTATTTTATTTAAAAAGGGTAACAGGAATCACCTGAAATATTAGCTATACAACAGACCACACCAACTACGAACACCTGACCCCAATTGTCACCTCTCATGGTCCTACAGTCCAGTGGCGGATCCAGAAATTATCATGAGGGGGGCCCACTGACTGCCTAAGAGGGGGTCCGCTCCTGTCATGCTTCAGTGATTCCCTAAAACAATCAACCAAAATTTTTCCAACAAAGAGGGGCCCCCCTAAATCGCCTCTGCAGTCAGGCAAGCTTTAAAGTATAACGCTTAAATGTCTTTTCACTTTCAGTGCAACATATATTACTGATCTCATTGAAATGCATTGTTCGCGTAATTAAAAGGGAAATAGCAAACCCATCTGACATGATAGGCATGCGTCAGTTGTGGAAGTGTATTAAAATAACGTTTTCTAAGCCAATAAGTTCTTCCCAGATAATATTTGTTTCGCGGACCATAGAACAATAACATTTAGATAATATGATGATAATAGTATGAAACAATTACAATTTTTGTATTAATTAAATAAATCAGAGTGCAGAAAAAATGTAATATGAAATAAGGATTTGTAAAGGTAAAACCCTATCATTATGTAGTTTCTCAAGTGATATGGGTATAACATTGTAAAGACTTTGGCCTTGAGATCTGAGGCTCTCTCTCACCTTTTTAACACATATACATTTTGTTGTTATTGGTTAATATATTCCTTCATTAAACTCGTGTTAATTTACATGCCTTTAAAATTGATTTTAACTTTAAAAGGACTTGGCTTTCATTTTAATATGAACTTATAAACCAATTAACCTCATCATGTTTCGTGGAAATTTCGATACTTTACAAATTAAGAAGTGTATTTAAACCTAGACTAATATTGTTTATTTTGACCTTAAGCTGTACATTTACAAAACAATAGCATGTTATTATATATATACTTATTGAAAATTCTAAAACTGAAATGAACTAATTTGCATCAGAAAGACAATATAGATATCTTTGATTTCATTAGAATTTTGGTTTTATTTTTGAATGTTTTTTCTATTCCATATTGAATTAAACTACTACAAAAATAGGCCTACGTCTATCTTAGTTGCAGTTTCGAGATATGTTGTACTAGTAGCAACTTTAAAACTAAACAAAACCAGTAAAAAGGCGTCCTAAATATTAAAATACACTTGAACAATCATCCTGGAAATTTGCCAAGATTATGCAATTTAAAAAATCAAATTTTATTTCAGTGAATTGCAAGAATGATCGATCCATAGAATTGAGTACAAAACCATTGGTATAATTGTAAGGAGGTTTAAACATTCACAAAAGTTGTGTGTGACACATAATTAATGTCATTTGCACATATATAAGCAATTTCGTCAGTTTAGTAGACCTTAACTTTATGTTTGTATAATGTGTATATAATTATTATAGGCACAGCATTTTTTTGTAACATATTGATTTCTTACAACTTGCCCAATTAACCATGAATTGAACAAAAGAATCCAAAACATTTAATCTGAAGACCAATACCACTCTTTTTTCGGGAACAGATTCGTAATATGTACATAATGAACGTTTGTTTTTTGAATTCCAAATTAAGATTTCTTCGGGTGTTTTAATTGCCTCCGGATTTCTGCTTCCCAACATTACTATTTTTGATTTTAGAACTAAAGATTTTTAAACCATAAAAGTACAGGATGTTCTAATTTCTCGACATAAATGACGATAGAACAAACTACCACATTTGGAAAAAGTTTGACCAGTTTCTGCCCCGTACTTCTGCTTTCTACTGTCTTAAGGTCGAATGCAAACATCTGTCGTAAGTGGAAACTATTGGCATCTAGGTAAAGGGCTATATAAATGCATATTGTCGTTGGTCATTATACTAGAGTCAAACGATTCCGAAGGTATGACCACTAATGAATATATCAATCACATATTTACATATTTCAAATTGCGACCAACGTGACCAACGATTGTATTTCTGTCACACGTTTTACATTAACCCGAGAAGGCCAATGTGTTCCTGATTAAATGTTTAGATTCTATCTTTAAAGTAATATTGTTCACACTGTGTTTGGTTTGTGGTTAAGGTTCATCTTAACAAATGGACAAATATGGCCGTATTTTCACCTCAAAAACTACTCTGTGTACAGACTTACCTGTGCAGTTTGGAAAGTTTTAAGGCCTGGCATCCACTAGATATAGGAAAGTTAATTTCATTTTGCATATCAGAAAGATAAAATCTTTTTGGGATTATGATGAGCATTTTTTTTCGTTCCTGCAGAAGGTGTAAAAATTAACTAAGTTGGGATACAACTTTGAAATGCTCCCTCTCAGGTAACAACTGGTTTGTATTGTATTGATTGTCCTTGATTGGCATGGACAATAGATATCTACACATCTATAGGTGAGTTAAAGGTAGAAACTGAGTGGACAGTATCAAATGCAATTCAGGTGTTTGTTTATTTTTACACCTTCTGCAGGAAGGAAAAAAAATGCCCATCAAAATCCAAAAACGATTTTATCTTTCTGATATGAAAAATAAATTTAACTTTTATATATCTAGTGGATGCCAGGCCTTAAAACTTTCCAAACTACACAGGTAAGTCTGTACACAGAGTAGTTTTTGAGGTGAAAATACGGCCATATTTGTCCATTTGTTATGATGAACCTTAATACAATACGTTATAATTACCCTGTTATTTTTATTTTATTTTGGAAAGGCATTCGACATACATAATATAACTAGTATGAAGTCAACTCGTAAAAATCGGCAATACAATATTATCTGTGTGCCAACTGATTTTAATATTATACTTACATATATTTCGTCTTTAGCATATCTGTCCCTCAGAACATTTTGAATGGTGTCTTCATCAAGTCTCTCAAGTTGTGACAAATCTTCAACTCCATTTGAAATTGAAGCCATGTTCCCCGGTTGAACAAACTAATCTCTATTTATTCCCCGTCTATGCAGCCCATGCTATAACGTCAATGAAGTCTGAACTACATGTACATGAACAACCATTTAAATTATTTATGTCTTTGTTGAAATCTATTCCATTCTATTAGTCGTTATAGAACTTCCGCATTCAGCTTTTCAATGAACATATTTTTTGAAACCTTCGTAGAGAGATTAATGATATAAAAATAGCTATAACCTTTTGGTTAATATCATTCAACCCAGCACGATGTTCATTGAAGATGATTTCTCACAAAATGTCAATTTTTTTCACCCAAAAATGTAGATAATGTTCAGTATCGGTACATAGATAGTTTCAGAAATCCGATATGCCAACTATATTGTCAGTGTACCGTGTGATCATTTGCATAATAATACCCGACATTTAATAATTGTTTGCTTATTGAATGCATGAGCTATATTGTTAAACAAGGTATACAAGGAAGCCATGTTTACATGATCTCTTAATACCACAAACCGTACAGTCTTTAACAGATTTTAAAATATACAGAGCTAATATTGGTCTTAAAATAAACAGACTTATGGTAAACAACTTCCAAACTTGTCTATTACTTATACCCCCTTTTCAACAAAAGCACATCTCTAATCAAAGTTAAAATATCTTAAAACAGCCGATACACAATCAGATAAGATCTTTGATTGTTTTTTTTTTCGGTACCAGAAGTTTTACTTCTACTCAGAACGATAATGTAAAAAAAAGTTTCGTTTTAATTCTAACTGATACATTGCTATGTATGTAACTGATCGCATTGTGAATTTTATATTTGTATCGTTCATGTCGTCTTTGTCCTTGTGTACATTCAGTAACAAGGCCAATAAAAAAAATATCACTTTATGTAAAATTATGGTTATCTTGAACTAGAGATCCATGGTCCTCCATACTTCCCTTTGCTGTAACAGATTTGAAGTAACCCTCACGATATCAGGGATAAGTGAGGATAAAGAAAGTCATTTTTTTGCAACATGCTCATTTATGGAGGTTTAAAAAGTAAAATTAATTCCAAAATGAATGGTGAGTGCGATAAAAAAAAATGTGAAATCATACAATTATATAAGTAGTAGAAAGGCGTAGACAATTTTCACTGACATTTCAAATGCATACAGTAAAAGTCTATCTTTGATTTCTCTAGATATTTTGATATTACATTCTTTTAGCAACACACATTCAATTGCAAATAGAAATTGGGGTCCATGTGCATATTTTTTATTTAAAACACAGAAAACCGAGGTTCAAATTGTTTGAGATACCATTTTCTAATATTGGCTATTACCGCCGAATGTCAAAACTTTATTAAAAAAAACTAAGAAAAAGATACAAGACATACAATTTTGTACACCAGACGCGCACCTCATCAGCGACGCTCGAACCAAAAAAATTACAGATTTTAGTAGTACATTACTTTGATAAAAAAGTAAGAATTTTTCATTTGTCTCGAATTTTATGGACCGCAGAAGAATTCGCGTGCTAAAATATACAGCATTATAAAAATAAGGAAATATGATAATAAAAACTGATATAATTGCAAACGAGACAACTATCAACCATGCAGATACTAAAGATTACTCTACGGCCTTCAAAAACAACAGTATCGACAGGATCTAGGACTACAAGTGTTCATATCTGTATGGCAATCATGTTTAGTTATGTTTTGATTTAATAAGAACAAACTCAATGTTAGTACCTATAAAGACAATACTCAAAAATATCACTACAGTGTATGCTAGTTTTCCCTTAAAACTACTTTAAATTAAGTATTTAAATAAAGCAAAATATTATAATTATTATTATACTTATTTGATGACGTTAGTGAATCCCCTCCCCCTTTCCCCCGAAGAATGCGCATCCTTAGCAACGTTGCCAAAATAAAACATAAAGAGTGCGTTATTATCTTCCGCCACTGCTACTTTATCATAAGCCTTGAACTTCTAGCATTTTGATATCACGAGGCCATGTTATTGTTTGTGTGTAGTCCTTGCATTTGTATCACATTTTGGATAACATCTGTTGAAGTTCGAGAGAGGACCACTCGTTTTATGTTATTTTAAAATTAGTTCAGTGTGTGGTCATTCGGGGACATGAGTACTGTTGTTATTGGGTATCAGAAACTGTCTTTGTTTTTATGGTGCTGAGCTGATTCGGTTTAGATGTCTTTTCTCTGGTTTGGTGCTGAGCTGATTCGGTTTAGATGTCTTTTCTCTGGTTTGGTGCTGAGCTGATTCGGTTTAGATGTCTTTTCTCTGGTTTGGTGCTGAGCTGATTCGGTTTAGATGTCTTTTCTCTGGTTTGGTGCGTTGTTTAGTTACCATATACTCAGTATTTCCTTTTAATCATAAGAGGAGAAATATAACTGGAAGCCCCGTAGCTTTTATGTATTTGTTTTTTCTTTGAGTTGCCTATGGTTTATGTATTTTTTTCTCCTACAGCACGCCCAGTCCATTTTAATTTTTTTTTAATATGTGAATCTCATGTCGCTTTCAATTTGGGTTCCTTTAACAAAATGCTGACTTTGCCATGTATTAAATGGAGAGGGGTTGGCTTTTAAAAGCAATTCTTAAAATGGTCGACTCTAGTTCAATTAATCTCTTAATTATATAATTTATACAATTGCATGACACTAATCACCTTCATTTTATATTGCATGCCATATGTTATGAAAAGTGTTTTGTACGCATGAAATTTATAAAGTGTTGTTTTCATTGTTTCCAACACTGGGACGATACCGCTGCTGGTGGACTATCAGTCCCCAGGGGGTATCATCAACTCAGAATTCAGTACTTCGGTACTGGCCCGAGAAACACAGTTATTTCGTAGTGCATTTCTTTTAGACAATAAAGTCAAATTAAAAAAATCGCACCTTCTCTATCTCAAAAAGAATGTTTAAGAGTAGTGTACTACTATTGGGACAAATAATATCAAAATTATAGAAAAGTCTACCAGCTCTAACTCAAAATATTGACAATTCTATGTTAAGGGAGTCTAAAATTCAGTTTGACAGCTTCAGACATACTAGTTTTTTACCTTTTTTAACTGGACCAAATCACTACTTAGCATTAAGATTCAGCACCCAATTTTTTTTAACATGTAATTTCATCCCCTTACTTAATATTTTATGCATAAAATATAAAGAAATAAATTTGGAAAGTGTATGAAAACATTGGCAAGTTATACACTGTCCACACTAGGGACTATATTTATGGACGATAACTGTGTCCTCGGTCCTACTAACATGCTATATAAAGAACCTTTCTTAACTATCTTTTTATAAAATAAGAAACTAAGGTTTCAACTGCCGCAGGCAAAATTGACCTTAGATGGATTTTGGCTATTATTTTTAGGCAATTTTTTGGTCATATAGATCTTCAACTATTTCGGTTCTTATACATCCCTGTCTATCAAATATTCGGCTTTGAACGTTCTTGATGGAGGTAAACCCAGAGAAGCGCTTCGGACCCATGAAATTTATAAAGTTTTGTTTTTGTTTTTTGTTTTTAATGTTTAGATAAGAATGATTTTCTGGTTTCCTCTTTGCAATGTATATACATGAATAAATGGAGACAGGCATATTTTATTTACAACTTCTCCTAAACCATTGACAGGATTTCAATGAAATTTGTTCACAGATTTTTCTAAACCTGAAGCCATTTTGCACCTCCCTTTTTATTTTATTTTTTAAATTCTAATGGTTTTCTTGGAGGGTTACAAAGGCAAATCGTGGACTTTGACCTTTCTATATAAAATTTTCATGAAATAAGTATATGCATTTTAAATTAAGTTCTCCTTAACAGTTTTTGTGGTCGGATTTCAACTTGCATCAAACGTTAACGTATAACAGTCTCTATATAACTCCCTTTCGTAAGAGAAACACCCAGTCTAAATTGTATGCTAGTATTTAGAAATAACATTCCTTATTATCATCGATTATATAGCTGTTTATATATATACTGCATAGTGAATTTACAAAGGGAGCACTGACCCTGAACAGGGAAGTGCACAAATCCTTTTAAATATCTGAAGTGTTTTACAAATCATTAAATATCTTTGAATTTAATTCTTTAAGTATTAACAATTATGATCGATTAATGTATGGAAATACACATCACGTTTAAAACCAGGAAGATATCACAACTAGTGCTACGGGAGTAAGATCTAAGTTATTAACTTTCATTAAAAAAAAGATCGACACCCTTCACTCATGTATATTTAAAGTTATATTTTGGTGTTATTTTTTATATGCATTGAACTCCACAAACTAGAACATCCGGTTCATTAAATTGCGTACCTACCGATATTGTAAGTGTATATTTGGATGTTTTATAAGCTATACATTATTTTGTTTTCATGCTTGAATATCGTAACAGATTCAAAGTTATTAGGACTTTTTGTCTCAAGTTATTAAATTTCCACTGAAGAGCCAGAATGTAATATTTATAAATCGCTATCAATCTATCAAATTTTCCACGTTTCGTTACATTTATATGCGTGACGAATCATTTCGGTTAAAACGGACTAAGAAATGGAACCAATCCTTTTGTGTTTGTCGGTTTTTGTTTTGTTTTATTTTTGCAAAGTCACGCAACGAATATGTAATTTGATACAAACCGTTAAACACTCAAAAGATATTTGATGAGATAACAAATTAAACAGGATAATTTTATGTAAGAATGTAAATAATAGGGAAAGAAGAAATTATTTTTATTTCAAAAGATGAAGTGATTTGAGCTCTCTTAAGTGTCCGTGTGTAATCCTGTTATAGCTTTTACATGCATATAGTATTGTTTAGCATAGTTTGTTTATAGATATAGGAAGATGTGGTATGAGTTCCAATGCGACAGCTCTCCATCCAAGTAACAATTTATAATAGTAAACCATTATAGGTCAAGGTACGGCCTTCAACACGGAGCCTTGGCTCATACCGAACAGCAAGCTATAAAGGGCCCCAACAATTATTAGTGTAAAACCATTCAAACGGGAAAACCAGCGGTCTAATCTATATAAAAACGAGAAACGAGAAACACGTATGAACTACATAAACAGACGACAACTACTGTACATCAGATTCCTGACTCAGGACAGGTGCAAACATTTGCAGCGGGATTAAACGTTTTAATGGTACCAAACCTTCTCCCTTTTCTGAAACAATAGTATAACATCACAACATAGAAAGACATACTATAAAATTTTCATGAAATAAGTATATGCATTTTAAATTAAGTTCTCCTTAACAGTTTTTGTGGTCGGATTTCAACTTGTATCAAACGTTAACGTATAACAGTCTCTATATAACTCCCTTTCGTAAGAGAAACAC